ACTTCCTAGGCGCAGCTATTAGTTCCCATTGGCCAGCCCCTTTTTCTCCCAGTGCCCACTCTCCCCGACTCCATTTCACTGTGGCACTCCAATCTGCACCTTTCTTGGCCATAAGTTGCCCTGTGGCATATGAGGCTCCCCAGTTCTGCTCCCCGCCCATCGCCATGTACTTCATCAATGCCGCGCGTCGAGGCCAAGAAACAATTTTGAAATTTATGCTCACGACCCTTACTGTTCGTTCGCGATGGCGTCTTCGCCCCCCTCAGCCCCCAACCTGCTTTGGAAATTATTTTCATATTTTACTCCTCCACCCCCTTTTATTATTTATTTGCGCTGGCCGCGCATAATTCTGGCGGGCAGGAGAGGTATTTCTATATTCTTAAGATCGTTAATGAGTCTCCATTGTTTGGGCGATCAACTCGATTGGTGGCGACCTCTGACAGCTGGCTTCGACATGAGATCACTCAGCTCAATGGGTTTTCATTAGGTTTTTTGGTCAGATTGGGCGATTGGGCGGAGACCGACGAGGGATCTCTGCGGAGTACGTGGAGCGAAAGGCATTTAATTATTTGGCCGCAATGTGCTGCTTTTCGTGAGCCTTTAAAATAAATGAATGCTGCAGGTCATGCCACAAAAGCTAATGTTTTTGCTAATTGACCCCTTCAGCAGTATTTAATGTTACAACTTGTATGGATTTTATAGTTCATTTAATGTAGTTGAGGCTATTAACGGCTTATAAAGATATTTGCTAGAAATCCTTTCCCTGAATTTATCATTTAAAACATTAGACTTTTGTGTTTTTTTTCTTAACCGCCTAATGCTATTTTTTGTGACGTGCTTATACATTTAAAAGTTCCTAATTGGGCAACTCTTCTTCCCTCTGCCTTCATGTACCATGAATTTGTCACATTTGGAAGGCGCGAAAAAGAAATTATGACAATTAAGGCTGCCACAGTGTGTATCTGATTGGAAATCCCCCACTATCTTCCTGGCCACATGCTGCTTCGGTATTTGTGGCTCTTTTGTCGCAATTGCTTTAATTACTCAAAGGAAAAGCCTTAAGAGGCCCACCTGCTGCATAGTTTATGTCCCATTGGATGCACCTCCCTGCCGCCACTCAGCAGGAGTTCTTGGCCCAAACTGATTTATGGCCAAAGGAGGAGAGGAGACAGAAGAGCCACCAATAGGGGGAACTTTATCAATAAGCCACACAAAAGTTGGCCAAAAAGGGTTTTATCGGACAGAAATGTTTTCGAATTCGCAGCCACCCCCAAAAAACTATAAAATCTGACAACTTTTTGGTCCACCCCCAACCAATGCGCAAAACTATTCATTCTGATAAACAACTCGATTCGATTATTTGCGATGCCATTAGAATCGATTTTCGGCCAAAACTTTTCGACAACTGTCATTAGGCATTGTTGGATTAGCCGATTGTGAGGTGGGCGGGGTTTGCGGGGTGTGCGAAACGGGGAAGCTTTATCAATTTGTGGGTGTGGCTGCGGCATAATGTATGCCACCCCCTGGAACTAATGAAAGCTGGTTTTACCGCCCCAATGACTCATCTCGATTTTGGTTTAATTCCGGCTTCCATCCACGTTTCTCCCAGCTTCGATCCCTGTCGATTGTTTGTCTTCATTTTGCAGTGCTTAACTTTGATTGACATTCATGCTCTATCATTTATTCATTTTCGGCGCCGAAAAGTTTTACAGCCTTGCTTGCCATCCCTTTGGAAATTTAATTGACTTTTCCCGGCGAAAAATTAGCAGCTACTTCATGGCCCCATTTCCAATTCGGCGCATAACTAAGGCAAATATTGAACCAACACCCCCCGTTCCAGCCTTTTTTGGCCCAGATTTGTGCGGCAAGGAGGGTGCAGACTTGTTATTTGGCCTGGCAATTAACTTTCTTTTGTTTGCGGTGGACTTGCAGCCTTTTGTGTGATTTCAGCTAGTCGGAAATGGCGTCGGTTAGTTGGCAATGGGGGATTTTGGGGGCTAGATCCCCCGTTTGGCAATAAAATTTCATTGCTAGTTGAGCGCAGCTGTCGAAATTTTTGTTAGGCATTTGAAAATAGATTGGTGTGTGTGCTGCAACGAACTGAAAGCCACTAAATTTCTAGGGCTAAAATATAATTAATGTTCAGAGAAATATTTACTTTCCTCAGATAATAACAAATTAAATATATCTTAGTTTGAAAAACTTACTCCAAAATGTTATCAAGCGGTTTCCTTAGTTTTTTGCATTCATTCATTTACCACGTCTATCCTTTATACAAATGATCTTTTATACATAAAAAAGTACAAATAAAGCTTGTAGTAGGCAATGTATTGATTGAAAATCTTGTATTAATTAATGGTAGGTAGTTTTTGATCTTGCTTGATCGTCTTTTTAAGCCTGTTCTTGTATTTAAATCCGATTGCATCAGCTTCCTGTCGAACCAATTCCATTGCATACTTTTCGGGTCTCTTTGGTGTCGCCCAAGTCGGGGAATTCCCTTAGGCCCTCGCCAGCAAAACATTAATTAAGTAAACTATACTCCGCCCTCCAGCGTATTCTTCGTTCGTTCATTCGTCCAGTTGCCTAATTGAAAATTGCAATTAAATTGCAAACTTCCCCAGGCGTTCACAAAGCGGCTTCCGTTCGGGCCAATTTTTTTCGTCCCCGTTTGTGTCGCAACGAATTTGGCAACTAATTAAGTGTAACTTCTGTTCAGTCTCTTTAAAAGCAGTGTGGATTTGGTGCAACTAACTTCGCCACCATTAATTGAACAGAATATAACATTCTTACGGACAGATCAATTCCATGTTGCCTCCATGTTCGATTTTGGCCCGCATGCTCAATTTCTTTACTTCTGCAATAGTCACCTCAACTTTATTCTTGACCATTCCAATAAAAGCGTCGAAATTCTTTTCAGATATTCCTTGGTGTTGTTTACCGTCACCTCAACATCAAAAGTCATTGGACTTTGAATATAAACATGTAATACCAAAACGGCTAATAGGGCAACGTAAAGCCAGAATTCTATTTCACGTCCGGTTGCCTGCATGATGATTGTGAAACTACTGGAATCGAATTCAAAATGATCTGTGCTGAAATGACAGACAGACGCCGATTGATTAATTCGACTTCTATGAAAGATGAGAATTTCTAGTCTCTATTGCTTGGCTCCATACAAAATGTTCTAAGCGTGCGGATGCATAAATGTACTATATCGCATTTCGACATTTCCAGCAGAGCAATTCTTTTTTATTAACTTTTTTTTACTGACTTCACATCTACTCATATGTTTTGCTTTATGATTTTCACGCCCGCATTCTGCGGTAACAACTGCACTGCAAATAACAAAAGTCGGATGAACCGGAACTTAAAACCAATAGCGAAGAGCGCATACACTGCTCACTGGGGAAATAATAAATACCTCAATAAATATTCAAAAAGGCCTAAAAATAATTGTTGTTGCTTTTTTAACATATACGACATAGTATTTCATCTCTTTAAGAATTATTTTAAAATAACGACATTTTCGTTTATAACAAAGTTTATGTAATATAGCAAAGAGAATATTTGTTCGTCTCTGAAAATAAGACAAAGTTAAGCATACAAAAAGTAGTCATTATACTTTAATATTTTATCACGATTCCAGTGTATCCCAGTTGGCCAGCAAAGAAATCGTCCTGTTTCAGAAACATTTTTTGCCACATTAACGCCTGCACACGCCCGCGCCATTTTGTGGCCGTGTGCAGCTAGCTTTTCCTATTCCCTTCATTCGGCTTTTCCCGCCCCGCACGCTAACACACTTACACACATTCGCGAAAGCCACACATTAATAACTTTTTTATGGTGGTCGCATAAAAACGTAACAAAACTCACCGCCGAACATTGGATTCCATTTTCGTGTGCAGTTTTCAGTTCTTTTTCGCCGTGCTGCTAAAGTTTTCTGTGTGGCTGTTGTAGTTGTTAAATCGCACACGTGTTTTGTACAACATTGCCATATCCTTCATATCCTTTAATACTTGTCCCCCTGCGTGGGCGTCCAGAGTGATTTCCCCACCCCTACTTTCCCAATTTTTAACTGCAATTTGTTGCCAAGGAGCTTAGCGTCTATGTGCTCTGTAGTCTACTCCGGAAAACATTTTACATTTTGTCAAAATATATTTAATCGAAAAAAATGCACGCAGAATAAATATAATAATATACACAAATATAATAAAAAATATTAAAAGGATAATGAAGTTTAATATGAAATGAAAATATTATTTAAAAATATAGTACGTTAATCTTCAATTTAATGATTGAATGTTTCTGTGACATACGCAAAATATTACACTGTAAATGGTATTCACTTTAATTAAATACCATGTTTCCTTTATTTTCAAGCTTCTAATATTTTTTTGCTGTGTTGCATCCCCCCAGAAAGTATAGTCTTTGGTTTAGATTTTATTTTGGCCTTTTCCCCGTACACATGTGTTTCGAATGCTTTTGTTTTCGTCTGTGAGTTTTCCTTTTTTCGATGTTTTTCATGCTGCGTTTTGCGGTTTCTATGGTAGAGTATTTAGAAAACAAGTGTAATCAAAATTATATGGGCGTGGATTTCTCGTTGCGACTCGTAAATTTCAAGGCTTTCGGCCATGTGTTTCAAGTGTTTGCTGGTGGGAGGCGTAGAAAAAGTACTGCAACTTGGCCAGCGGGTGTTGGCAAGTTATGATTGAATTTCGAGCTGCTTTTGTGGCCATGGTTTGTCTGCCCGCCTACATGTGTAGTTGCGTCTAATGGGAAAAGTTTTAGCCAACAAAATGGAGGTGAGAAGAATCGGGATTTTTAGAGAGCTCTTAGAGGTGGATTGTGTGGTTGGTAACTTTCGGAAAATGCTTTGGTTGCTGAAACCTGAAGGCTTGGCTTAAAAAAATTGCCGAAGAGCTACTATACATCACTACAAACTTGTAAGGAATGCTTAAAAAGTTTTCCAAATTGTTGTGTTTGGAAATTCACTTCAAGATTTTACAAACAACTTAGTTATCGCATATTCTATAAATTCAAACGCTCGAATAAATGCTTCAAGTCACACTGATAAACATTAAGAACTAATAACCTAATAATATAGCTATCAAGCAAGATATCTGTCACAATACACAATGTCGTCGAGGAGCAATGAGTCCCTGAGCGATATAAAGTCCCTTGTGGGCAGGATGATCTTAATGCAAGTCACCGAACACCTTTTCCTGAGTGCGCAGCAGTTGCTGGATTCCGAGGTCAGCATAGAAGAACGTGTCCGCAGACTGGAGGTCCTCCACAGCCAGATGAAGTGGTTCAACTCCGAGCGTACACGTATCCTGGACCAGTTGCAGGTGAAAATATTCACTCAGATTTCGGTGGAGCAGCGCATGGCGATGGATACGAGCCGGCATGTGTACGAGCTGCGCGAGGGACTCAACGGACTCAACTTGAGGCTGAACAGTATGCAAGAGGACATCAACTGTCCCATCTGCCTTTCACCATGGACTTCTCATGGCACACACCGCGTGGTCTCACTGCGATGTGGACACCTGTTCGGGAATAACTGCATAAGAATCGCCATCCGCAGATCCCATCGGTGTCCGATCTGCAGGCGTAGGGCTCTACACGGTGATGTGCGCAGGATCTTCAGTCGACGATTAATCCAGTAACACCAGAAAGCATTGCGTTCTATTTCAATGATTACCGTTCCCGCTTGCTGCACTTGTGTAGGAATCTATTAGGAAGTAGGAATATCTATTCGCAGAATATTTTCAAATTCAGTGGCTTTCAAATACTTTTTAAACAAATAGCTGTAATAAAAAGTCCTGATGAGGGACTCACATTAAGGAATCCCCATTCTATCGGAATGCTACTTACGATTTTTGTAACTTGTATTCGCTTAAAGCAACAAAAAAAATTATAGTATTTTCACAAATAAATAAATTCAAAATGCAGTAAGGTGCATGATTTTTACATAGCAAGAGACAAATAAAAGTTCTATAAATTTATATTTAAAATATGAAAATTTCTATCCCTTAAAAATGAAGTCAAAAGAGATCTATCCAGTCTATGAAAAGCTGGCAACCCATTATCCTTAAGTAATTGAAAAAGTGCCGAAAAATGTGCTGGTAAACACGAGCAATTAAATAGCATTGTTTTCCAGTCAAATTAAAAACACTGTCTTTATATTTCAGTCTTTAACAATAAAATAAAGTTTTATTTTTGCATTTTCCGTTTGTGTTTGCCATTGAGTGCTTCAATGATGTTCTGCATGTTTATATTTGTTTTATACACTTATAATTGTTCGCTTGCCACTGGGCATTCGCTATGTTACACCGACTATCGATAATTGCTATAATTAATATGCATTTCCATCAGCTTAAATGCTACACAAATCTGGCTTGGACATAATTTCACGTATTACTAGTGCCAATTTAAATTGAGAACTCAATTAAATGCGCTGAAAACAAATGCTCAACAGTTGGCAAACATCGCAGTGTTTCCTTTCTTCATTTCTGTGATTTTTCATGTGTCTACAAATATTTAAATGGCAGTTTCAACTCTTATTTAGTTGGGGTGAAGGGAAAAATTTCCATAAAGTGGCAACAAAATTTTTGCGTGTTTTGTTTGTGTGTTGGTTTTGTTTGTTCGCTTAAGTGCTATGACTACAACGTCATTTAAAAATTGAATTAAAAATCATTCCATTACGCGTTTAGAATTAATTAGTTCAACAAATATACAATTACAGTTAGAATTACAAATACAGTTAGAGTTATAGTTAAAATTATAATAATCGTATTTGCATTAAGTTTAGCACATGGAGGACATTTATTGCTACATAATACATTTATATAGTTTATGGTTTCCTTTTTGTTTATACATAAATGAAGCATAGATGTGAGCACCAAACTGCATTGTTTTATGTACGAATTGTGTGCTATATATGCATAATTATTGTGTTTGGGTGGAAAATAATTTCTTCTGTGACTAATGAATGAAATTTGAAGCTTGGTAGCCTTTATAAAATCTACTGCAGAACAGCCCAGGCTCACATCCTGTTAATGCCTAACATATATATTCGTATTCGTAATCCCTAATTTATAGCTACATGTTCATTAAGTGTAGGGCACATTTAAAGCTTTCAAAAAATCGGAACCTAACTTAAAACTTGCGTCAAAACTGAAATATCATAGATGCTAAAGGTTCGTATACCACGAAAGCAATGAAATCCTACAGAATACAACTCGACTTATAGCTAGAGTCTCAACTTATACGCGTAGTTTTGGTTCAACAAGCTTGCTTTCGTATCAACTAATGTACTTGTAATTCAAACAATAGCCTAGGGTCAACTTTTGATTTTCTCTTTTTTTGGGGACATATGTGGATGATGAACTTTATACAAAGCCACTAAGAACTACGACTGCGTTTTAAATTGTTAGGGGGAGTTAGGGGACCGTCTATGTGCTAAACTCTAAGTAACTCTCGTTGGCCGCCTCCGGATCGGGAGTAAGGGGCGTGGACTTGGCCCCGCCCGCCGGTCCCGTCTCATACTAGACGTACGCCTGCGCCCGGGTCCGGGGCTCCTTGCCCTGTAACCGCTCCACAAAGTTCCGCCAGCTGACCATCGTCTTGCTGGAATACAGCCAAACGCTGGAAGTGACCCCCACCAGCATGGAGCAGAGGTACTTGACCATAAAGATCTGAAAGATGGGGCGGGCTTCTGGGGATCCCGGCGCCCTGGCTGCCGGGCACGGAATTGAGAAGGGCTTGCAGATGTCCCTGTGCCACTGGATCATCCACTCGTCGAAGTTGTAGTACTCGTAGAACAAGCAGCCCAGTAGTCCCACGGCGGGCAGTATGAAAAGTCCAGAGAAGAAACCTATTCGCAGCATCAGGCGCTCCAGTTTGTCTGTCCGCTTTCCGTCCGTTTTCATGACTGTGCGGATCCGGAAAAGCGAAATAAATCCGGCCAGCAGGAATAGTGCTCCGATCGAGAGATAAATGCAGAGCGGAAGGATCAGAAACGCGCCCAGGGAGTGTGTGTCCAGCTGACCCACGAAGCAGACGCCAGAAAGAATGTCACCTGAAAGTGGCAAAAAAGACAATATGTATTTGAATATTTGCACTTACAAAAATATGTATCTAAATAGAGGTATTGTATTTTAAGGTGTTGCATTAAAAATTATTAAACGTTAAGTAGTCATCATTAAGAGGTGCCTTGGGCTAATTCATTGTAAGTCAACTTGATTTGTTCATATATTCCGGCACTCAAAACTTTGTATTTTTTTCAGTGCCACGTCTGCAAAAGTGTTAATCCAAAGTGACATTTCATCATTTGTTAAGACAACAGGTAAACCCTGTTATTGGGACACTGCCAACAAAACCCATTGACCTTTTAAACTAAACATTAATTAATGTCAACAATTGCGAGGGATATGAGTTGGAAATACCCGTTGATTGCAAAAGGGGAAAGCGGGAGATAAACAATGTTTAATTTTACCATTTCATGTACCTCTTTCAGGGTAAATATTTACCCAACGATAACCCCAAACAGCAGCGTCTGTGGGGCCCTCCCCACCCCACCCCTTTTTTTAGTTCAAAGTCAGTGCGCCGCTTGTTTAAACATTTTACGAGCGGTTAGGTTGCACCACCTCCTCCACCTCCTCCACCTCCTCCACCTCCTCCACCTCCTCCCCCGCTCATTAGCGTTATTTATAAACATGTTACAATGTACCCAGCTCACACCTGCCCCCGATTCCCGTACCCCAAATTAATCCATCATTCGTTCGGCGTGCCATATTTCCGCTCATAAATTATCGATTAGCCCCTCGTTCGAAGCTTCTGCCTTTCGCTCTTTTTCTCCTTATAGGTGACATGTTAATTTCGGTTTCCCTGTGAAAACTGGTCGCGCTTTTCCAGGCTGTTGCGCTGGGAAATTTGCCACGCTTCGTTGCGTTGTAAATACTTTCAATTAATGCGTCTCGTTCCACTTTCGTTTTAGCTGTGATTTGGCATTGGAAATAAGTCATCCAACGTTTTTGAGCTTTTGAGGGGAATTAATATAAAAAATAGATGTTCTAATATAAAAAATAGATCTCTAAAATATTTAAAACAAATTTAATAGTCTTTTTTTTAATTCGTTGTTTAACTTTTCTAAGCCGATTTCGTGGCATGGAATCGTTTCCCAAGCCCCCAACATTATAATCCCGATTTAATGGTACCGCCTTTAGCATAAATCCTTAACCCATCGATGGTCTGACATTTATAGCCATTGAATTCGCATTCTCAACGCCAGATGGCGCCTTAACAAATCGCCAGCCTTTGAAGTTATCTACGAATGGAAGCCTGAAATATAACTTTATACCATAAAAGTCATGTCATGCTGACAAACCAAGAGCCAGCCTTTGCTGGAAAGAGAGAAAATAGCTAAATAGAAGGGGAGAGGGATACTTGAGACTGGACCGGGCAAATTAAGCGAGTTGAAAACCGGGAAAACGGCGATAAACGAATACAATAAATAACAGCAGGCAGTCGGCAACATCCTCTGTGGTAAAGAATTTACGGAGAAGAATTCTTCGCAAGTGAAAATTGAACCAAATGAAATAAACGAGCTTAGCCCACGTATACAACTATTGAATATAAATCACAATTCGGGGTCTGGATATGAATCGGTATCATATCCCAAACTCCGATACGAAATGCCACCTGCCGTTGGCTTCCTTCGATTTCCACCAACTCAATCGCAGTTCCAGTTTCCCTTCCGATATGGATCTTAATTTATATCTGAGCCTGAGAATGGTTTGCAATCCGAATGGAATAAAATCAAACGAAATGCAGCAACCAGGGAAACCGGACTTTCGGTCTCCGATCAGGTATTGATAAATGAAGAGCAGGGCCTATACAAGGAACCAGTTCTATTCGTGTCCTTATTGCTAAAGTATCACTGAGAGAAAATACACAGATCCCGACCATCAATTATTTACAAACAGTTATGCTAATCGATGATCTAATTGTTATTTCAAGAAGAAGTTACAAGTATGTTGGATTATTATGTTTTGATTTCGGTCTTGACTCCCTATTAGATGTGTTTTTTCTGTCTGCATCTTGGGAAACCAGTTTTGTATTTTTTCACTTAATTCAGCTTCATTTTGGAAAATTGTACGCGGCACAAGTCGCTGTGACAATTTCTGGGGCTCTGCAGTTGAGAGGCTGCCAGGAACTGAGAGATGCTGCAACATCCCAGCAGCAAGAGCAACATGCCAGCAGCAGCAGCAGCAACAATGCATGTCAATTGTTTTGTATGGCATGAGGAATGCATGTTGCACTGAGAGAAACGGGTTCCTGCGGGGAAAGAGGGCAGTGAGGTGACTTTTTCAGCTGTCAGCCAGTCAGTCAGGGATTCTTCTCCCGCATCTCCTTTTGCTTCTCTTGATGAAGTGCATGCAACAGAATTCCATTTTTAGCCAATGCCACATTGCATTTCATCATGAGAAGCTGAATTGGTTGCCATTGTTCTGGCTGATAATACACTTTGGCTTTGGCCAGACAATAATCACAAAAGGTGTTAATATGCTGGCCCAATACAGGCATTCAAGCACCAACAAAGCTATAGCTTTGTCCAAGTACTTCTTCAATATATTGTCACACACAATTGAAGAGCTTGTTTTAAAGGATTTCAGCAAATTGTGCTTCATCTCTAAGGGAACTTTTTGTGTAGTTTATGTTACCGGATATATATTGATATACATTTTTCCAGAAAAGCCAACTAATATTCA